CTGAAACTCGCCTCCGAAAATGTTCGTAATGAACAAATATAATTATTCATTAAAGGGACTGGTGTGCTATTTTTATTACCAATCGTACCCAAGTCTCAGAAACAAGTTTGAAAGTAAAAAAGGTAAGTCGTCTTTTTTTGAGACACTGCCAAATATAGAAAGGATATCTATAGTAATAGGAAAAGAAATTCCTAGTTTGAGATTTTTTGGAGGGAATTATGCGATTTTCGTACATTTCTAGTACTTTTGTATACTATTTATATATTATATTCATAACTCAAATCCGCCCCCCCCCCTCAAAAAAAAAAAATAGCGGTTTAAGAATGGAGCCGTTGATACTTTCAGAACACTTGATGCCATTCAATGACAAGCTTCGTACATAAAGCACAGTTTACACGTGGGTACTAACATTTTCTTGTTTTTATTTTCCTGATATCAAATATTTTATGATTAAAAACAAGGCGACATGTATAAACTGTAGAGTGTATCAAATATTATTGTCAAATTGGTTTTGTTATATAAAATACTGAAGGCCAACTTGAACCAGACAGATTTAGAGATAAATCTTTGCTTATATTATTTTCCTAACATATGGAATATGACATAATTGAATTATCCTTTCTTCAATTTTACAGTTTTCATACTGCTCTGATATAATATGATATTGAAAAGCTCAGTCTACTGCTTAATTGGTGCCAATTTTAATTTTGAAATGCTTCCTCCTTGATGCGCGTGTTTGAAAATTTTTATGATATAACATTATTTTGTGATCAGTTCGCTCCCTTGAACTGATGAAATTAATATACATTTTCATCAGTTACTTTCTGTCGTGTTTGTTGTGAATGTTAAGCAGCTATGACGGGTGTGGCACAAGGTGGGATATGCTTACTCTTCTAGACACCTGATAACACTTTTTATTGTGAAATACCTGCTCACTTATGATTGGTATACTCCCTCATGTGAAAAGTTCATGAGCTGCAAATGTTTCGCCAATATGTTGTTTAGGATTTCTGGTTTCGAGTTGTAGTTTAGATCATTCGACTTGGTTAGTTTATTTCCAGGAGCCATGTTTGATAGATGGCAAGATAATATTCGCTGATATACTTTTGAAGGCATCACTTAAATTTTGGATTATATACAGTGGTTTTCCATTGTTTAGAATATGCGAAATAAATTTTACCGATGTAGTTACTTCCCACAAGAATTGAAGAGATGTCGGATATGTTCAGAATTGGTTTAACATTGCAAATCCCCCGATAATACATCCTTTTAGCTTGAGAATACTTCTTCGTCTAGAAACCTCTAATTCAGTTATCCAGATGAAATTGTTTTCTTACTTTCCGAATATTACTTAATAATCCCTATAGTCTAGACCCTGTTGGATTCTATGATGATATCTGATATTTATGTGAATATAAACTAAATATTAAAAAAATGATCTTATTAAAAGTGCAAAGCTTTTCGAATTCTATTGGCGTTTTATTCATCGAACAGTCTCACGTGGATAAGCCGGAAGGGCGGCCATGTTACGAGCACTCCACAATACAATAATTCAAACGCGTCCTAAATCGACCTTGTGACTGGCAAAATCAGTGAGCAACTGGATTTACAACGACTGCTAGCAATTGGTAGAATTTGTAATAACCTGGGCAGTCGACCACTGAAAAATCGTAGTTACCAACAATATTGCTCTATGTAGGGCTCATTTCCTTTCTCGATATTACTGATTCACTGTGGTGATATTCTTTGAAACTCTAATCTGTAACCACCTTAAAGGTTATCTCGATCTACATTGTAATAAAACTCATTGTAATAAAAACATCGTTAATAATGTAAATATTTTGAATGCGATTCCAAAGTGTTACAAGGATACGTAATACGTAACCTTGTTCATTGTATATTTAATGTACATGTGCAGTGTGAAAAACTTTTCTCCTCATAGCTCATAGACTAAGTAACAAGATCTCACCGCCTGTCTTCAAATCTACAAGGCTTAAAATATTTTCAGCTTATCTATTTTCATGTTCAACGATAATGAGCACTGAACGACAGAAGCAATACATAGAGAAACCTTAGCATTTGATCACATTCATTTCTGTTGATATTAATCTACCGGAAATTAATTTCCAGATTGAATGAAACTTAAAAAATCAGCATGCTAAATTTAAATAAGTAGCTCATTTCATTTTTTTTCTTTATTATTTCTAACTTCTCAATTTTCATTCTTTTTGTTTGGGTGTAGGCTATAAATAGATATATTATGCAAATTAGATCTTAGAAGCCGCTGGCGCAAATTATTTTGTATATTATGAAATACGTGTACTATTAAAGTCGGGTGAAAACTGAATGTTAGGATGAAACCTTGTGATAACAGGACCATCTTTGCAGAGTTTAAAGCAACGATTATCTACACTATTACACTATTCATCTTAATGGAAACACCCGCATGATTGGTGGGTTCTGTTTGATCCAATAACCAGATCGTCACATTCAAAATTATCCCTTCTATTATCATCTCCGCCATTTAAAATTCTTTCTGCATCTACTTTGTTTTAAACAACTCCCAACTTGTTTCATGTAATGTCCGATTGATCCATAACAGAAAATGATAAATATGTGTTAAAAGGGGAAAAAAAATAATTATTATTATTGTGAAGCGGCTTATACTCATTTCTAATTCAAACCCTTGTAGAAAAAAAATTGTGAACAACTTCCTAGTAAATATTTGTAGTAATTCCTCCGGATTTCGCATCATTAGTTACGATTGATGTGTATATCTATATCATCTTGTTATCATTGTGGAGTTATATCCCTTCAATTGCTATTATTGTATATTGTATTTCAATTGACGTCTAGAGAAATATACAGCTTAAGGGGAAATAAAATTACCCTTCCAGTTCACCCTATGCAGCAGTCATTTAGGACGAGGAGGTGTTTTTAACCTAGTAGTATTTACGCCCAAGAGGGCAATTTTGAAATTATTTGAGTAGTATCGAGGCAATTGTCACTTAAGTCGTTCTATTTTCCGACATGAATAAGATTGCAGGGAAAACCACGAAAATCACGAATTAGGAACGATTTAAGAGAGAGGTAATGCAATCGATCAAGGATTCTGAAAGAGAGGGGTTGAGAGAGAGATTTTGCTATACCATCTTCACAAGAATGGCAAGATGTCTAGCTAAGACTAATATAAGATTTGCTCCTTATCCATATACATGGTTCGAATCCATTTGGTTCTTCCGATTCTCCGGATGGCTTCCGTTTATGGCTTATTTATTTTTAAGTTTAAAATTTGACCTAGATAATGTTCTGTTGATATTATACTAATACTTGTCGTAACTTTAAAGAAATATAGTCACCGATGTATACTTTACAAAGTGGCCTATTTATATTGATCGATGTTCTCAACTTTGTCAAAATAATTGTGTAACCTTTAAACTGACTAAAAAATGCTGAAAAGAGACTGTGTTTAAAGCCCTCCGATTAACCAAGTATTTCTATATTATATTGCAATTACCTGGAGTTTTAGAGACGAAAACGTGATTTTTGGTTAAAATGTGTCAATTTCACAAGTAATTAAGAAGAAATGTTAACGTATGTTTTGTCTTCTGAATTGTAATGAGGTCTCTTGTTAGCAGAACGTGTCTGATACAAGAAAATGCATATTTGTACCAAAATTTTCATAAGAAAAAAGAAAAGTAGGTAACTAGGATATTAGAGTGAGGAAAAGTTCATCTATGTGACAAATTATGACTGTTTGAAAGGAGATAATTTACTAAAAATATATTATATAATTGGTAGATCAGCTGGCGATAAGACCCTTAGAGACAATGATGTTAGGAGGATTTATCTTTTAAGAATAGCTATTCAGATCGGATTGCACTCTACCTTGGATTAAGTGTACAATAGATTAGGTCAGGTAGTGAAGACCACAAACATTTTTGTTCCAGTTCCAGATGATTATATCGTTGCTAAGGAATTTTCTTAATTCAGCAATGCCGATAAATTTGGAGGAGTGAATAATTCTCCATATTATTTAATAATAGTTTATTTTAATGTTGGCTCGTAGTTCAATCTTGAATTACTCAGGAGTTCACCTTGTGAATTATGGTATATTTAATATTACTCATGATTTGATAGTTGAAATCAGAATAGTATTTGACTCATGTTTGTCTCTTGGATTAATGCATTCTTGGAAAGTTCATCTTGAATAAAGAATGACTGCTGGGATCATTCTGACTCCGTTGATGAGGAATAGTTCCCCTGACTCTTGAAGCAGAATAGATATTGATTCTAAATTGATTCTGGAATTAATGGATAGTTAAATTTAACTCTCCAAATAATGGACTTTTAGGTAATATGTAAAATTATTGGAAAGTTTGTCGGTCTGAAATTACCTTACATAATTGTATACGGAATATTTTGCATTTGTTTGAATTTTTGCATCAACAAAGATACAAGTTTTTACATAATTTGGTAAAAGCAAATTATCGACTGTGTCTGGGATCATTTGTAACAGAACTTATTCTGAATCAGAATTCAAATGAAAGTTGAAATTACTGCCGAAGCTTCAGATTTGTTTCCCTTTGCAAATAGAGCGCTTTGAACTAACCTAGGAGAAGTTATGTAAATTTCCATTCATGCATTGAACGAGTAAAATGTTTAACGGGCGTTAATTTGAAACTGTTAACTTTGTTTATAAATGGATTGTATCTGAATCTTCAGTTATACTTAGTGGAAGACGACCGAGCTACAAAGCTAAGTGTAACAAAAGAATGCATTTTGGAATTTTATGGACGGTACATTTTGGATATATGACATATTTTGGTCTCAAGAACGGAGTTGATACTAAGCTAATAGTTAATTTTGCCGTTATCTCTCCCACAAATGAAGAACGACTTTTCTCAACCAAACAAGTGGCACCAGTCATTGATTATACTATCTCCACGGTTCAAAGGTTAGGACTACTGCCGAATATTACAATACATGTTCGATATGGTGATTCTAAATGCAACTCTAAAGATGCTCCAATACAAGCCTTTGATTTCTACAGAAACGCATTGGTAAGCGTTTTTCTTGGACCAGTTTGTGACTACAGTTTGGCACCAGTTGCCAGATATGCGCCGTATTGGAACAAACCAGTCATTTCGCCTGGAGGATTTGCTCATGATTTTGGAGTTGGTAAAAGAACTAATGATTCGGAATACAGAACGTTAACCCGAGTAGGTGCGACTTTTAATTCTTTAGCAAGAACTGTGATAGGATTGGTCCAGCATTACGAGTGGCACCGGATTAAGGTGATCTACGATGGAGAGGGACATACAAATATTATGCCCCGATTCTGCTTCCTTGCAGCTTCATCTTTCGTTAGTTACAGTAAAAAGAAACGCTTGGATTATGACTTTCATATTTTCATACCAAAAGTACATAAAGTTGAGGATATGCTACGTGAAGAAGTGGGCAACCTTTATAACAGTAAGTTGATTGCTTAAATTAAGAGCTGCACATAACAAAAAGATGTACTTCATAAATACGGTACTTCATAAATACGATACATTTCTAACTTTACAAATACAATACATTTCTAACTTCTAACTTTAAAAATTACAATACATCCCAAATTTCAAAAATACAATACATTTCTAACTTTACAAATACAATAATTTCTAATTTCTAACTTTAAAAATTACAATACATCCCAAATTTAAAAAATACAATACATTTCTATCTTTACAAATACAATAATTTCTAATTTCTAACTTTAAAAATTACAATACATCCCAAATTTAAAAAATACAATACATTTCTATCTTTACAAATACAATACATCTAAATCTTTAGAAATACAACACATTTCTAACTTTAAAAATACAATACATTTCTAACTTTACAAATACAATACATTTCTAACTTTACAAATACAATACATTTCTAACTTTACAAATACAATAAATTTCTAACTTTACAAATACAATACATTTCTAACTTTACAAATACAATACATTTCTAACTTTAAAAATACAATACATTTCTAACTTTACAAATACAATACATTTCTAACTTTACAAATACAATACATTTCTAACTTTACAAATACAATACATTTCTAACTTTACAAATACAATACATTTCTAACTTTACAAATACAATACATTTCTAACTTTACAAATACAATACATTTCTAACTTTAAAAATACAATACATTTCTAACTTTACAAATACAATACATTTCTAACTTTACAAATACAATACATTTCTAACTTTACAAATACAATAATTTCTAACTTAACAAATACAACACATTTCTAACTTTACAAATACGATACGTTTCTAATTCACAAATACAACACATTTCTAACTTTACAAATACAATACATTTCTAACTTTACAAATACAATACATTTCTAACTTTACAAATACAATACATTTCTAACTTTAAAAATACAATACATTTCTAACTTTACAAATACAATACATTTCTAACTTTACAAATACAATAATTTCTAACTTAACAAATACAACACATTTCTAACTTTACAAATACGATACGTTTCTAATTCACAAATACAACACATTTCTAACTTTACAAATACGAAACGTTTCTAACTTTACAAATACAACACATTTCTAACTTTACAAATATGATACGTTTTTAACTTTACAAATACAATACATTTCTAACTTTACAAATACAATACATTTCTAACTTTACAAACACAATACATTTCTAACTTTACAAATACAAATACATTTCTAACTTTACAAATACAAAACATTTCTAACTTTACAAATACAAATACATTTCTAACTTTACAAATACGATACATTTCTAACTTTACAAATACAACACATTTCTAACTTTACAAATACAACACATTTCTAACTTTACAAATACGATACGTTTCTAACTTTACAAATACAACACATTTCTAACTTTACAAATACAAATACATTTCTAACTTTACAAATACGACAAATTTGTAACATTACAAATACAATACATTTGTAACTTTACAAACACAATACATTTGTAACTTTACAAATACAACACATTTCTAACTTTACAAATACAATACATTTCTAACTTTACCTCTGAGGGTCAGTTTTAAGCCTATAATCTGTAAAAAGTTAGTCAAACGCTAGAAAATTGCACATTTAAATCGAATCGGGACATTTATGTCAAATAAAACTCCAGCAAGCCAATTTGCATTATTAGAAAGTAACAGCATGAATGATTAATACAAGTATCAATTTTCAAGTAAATTTTTAAATGTCATTATAATCGTGCACATCTAAAAGTGCATAGTACATATATCTGCACGATATGAAAACCTCCCATAATATTTTTAAATGTCGTATGTGCTCTACGTATAATTAACATTCTCTATAATAGTCTTGATATAGTTACATAAAATTTGTACTTTCTCGAGACAAATTACAAATCATTGTATTGTACTGTAACCAGAAATATTTTTGTTTAGAGGTATATTTCAAGGTTTTGTGCGATTTCTGTACATTTTTTGTACTTCTGAAGATTATTTACATATATTCAATGTCCAACTCAACCCACGTGGTGGCCCTTGAATAACATTTCGATGTAAAATGTTAGTAACTACCTTTAAAATTCGGCACAATCTCCCTTTTTCATATAATGAGCATCTCGAAGTCACCTGTCCTTTGTAGAATCTTAAGAAGGTCGTAGAAAATTAAACTAAAAACGTTAAATCTATTGATAATGAATAATTTGGTTTTCCGATTTTGTCACCAATTTACGTCTGCCAAAAATAGTCACATAGTATTTTTTAACCTGTATTTGAATAGAAAGTTAAGGATGTTTAAGACACTATGACCTTCTTCTCGATACTGTACTAGTTTGTGTCCCATCAAAGCACACTATATCAGATTTAAATACTTGCATATAATATACGTTAGGAATACCAAACTGTAGTTAAGTTGGAGGCCATTTGCTCGGTTTTAATGACAGAATTATGGTTAGGGGATTCTTCAAATATTTTCGTTGACTAGTAGTAAAGAAAACGTGTACGGATAATCTGCGGAAGATCATACACAGGTCATGAGTTTATTTTTTACAGGCCGATTCCTAAAAAAATATTCATGGTCTTCACCTAACAATTTGATACAAAACGTTACACAGTTCAAGCTTTTTTGTAGAATATTTGCTCCGCACACTAATTCTGAAATCGGTTATTTGTGGGTGCCTTTTTATGATTTTGATCTGAATTATAACCCCGTCACACTGGTAAGGCGTCCTTACTGAGCTGCCACGGTAGAGCGTGATAAGGTCGCCATAAGCTTGGTATAAGCGTATAGGAGTGCTATTGTCGACTACCAACAACTACCTAATTTGCGATATCAGCATCCGTTGGAAGCGAACGTTAACTCGTCATCTACCTAGCTACGGCAATAATCGTCGACGACCGTCGTAGCATTTCCGTGAGCGCAAGTTTGGGAGCGACTGTTTTAGTTTTTTGTAATTTCAAGGGACTTTTTCTTGCGGTTTTTAGCGTTTGCTGGTGATCCAGTCCAGCTTGATGTATACCTTCAAATACTTTAGTTTTTTTTAGCATAGGCAATTATCGTTTACAATTAGCTAGCAGATGAATTTTTGTAGTCTACTTAATTCTTATTTACTTAACTACTTATAATTTACAAAATATTATTTACATTTTGATAGATAGTTATACTTATAGCTTATGATTATTACATTTTTGTCTAGCCTACTTTATTTAAAGGGGCACGTTCGATGAATCGTACGTCTCAGAAACAGCTGGCTTTTTAGCATTGACGAATCGTCTTTTCTTTAGACATCGCCATTTTTGGATTGCAGTTGAGTTCTTAAGTGATTTTGTATAACTTTGTCATAAAGCTCTAATTTAGATTATATTGATCTGTTATTAAGACCATTTACACCATTGCATGAGCACACCGTATATCCTATCATAAACCACTTATGATTAATATACCGTCTCATTTGAAAAAAGTTCATTAGTTGCTAACAATATTTCGTCAAAATGTTGTTTTGGAATTCGGTATTCGTTTTGCAGTTCGGATCGTTATTACTTGGTTTATTTATCGACTAGACGTATAATATTCTGACAATGGAGAAACCAGTGAAGATAGGAAAAGAAAATGAAATATTTTTGTTTAGAGGTATATTTCAAGGTGTTGTGCGATTTCTGTACATTTTTTGTACTTCTGAAGACTATTTACATATATTCAATGTCCAACTCAACCCACGTGGTGGCCCTTGAATAACATTTCGATGTAAAATGTTAGTAACTACCTTTAAAATTCGGCACAATCTCCCTTTTTCATATAATGAGCATCTCGAAGTCACCTGTCCTTTGTAGAATCTTAAGAAGGTCGTAGAAAATTAAACTAAAATCGTTAAATCTATTGATAATGAATAATTTGGTTTTCCGATTTTGTCACCAATTTACGTCTGCCAAAAATAGTCACATAGTATTTTTTAACCTGTATTTGAATAGAAAGTTAAGGATGTTTAAGACACTATGACCTTCTTCTGGATACTGTACTAGTTTGTGTCCCATCAAAGCACACTATATCAGATTTAAATACTTGCATATAATATACGTTAGGAATACCAAACTGTAGTTAAGTTGGAGGCCATTTGCTCGGTTTTAATGACAGAATTATGGTTAGGGGATTCTTCAAATATTTTCGTTGACTAGTAGTAAAGAAAACGTGTACGGATAATCTGCGGAAGATCATACACAGGTCATGAGTTTATTTTTTACAGGCCGATTCCTAAAAAAATATTCATGGTCTTCACCTAACAATTTGATACAAAACGTTACACAGTTCAAGCTTTTTTGTAGAATATTTGCTCCGCACACCAATTCTGAAATCGGTTATTTGTGGGTGCCTTTTTATGATTTTGATCTGAATTATAACCCCGTCACACTGGTAAGGCGTCCTTACTGAGCTGCCACGGTAGAGCGTGATAAGGTCGCCATAAGCTTGGTATAAGCGTATAGGAGTGCTATTGTCGACTATCAACTACCAACTACTGGGACTACCAACAACTACCTAATTTGCGATATCAGCATCCGTTGGAAGCGAACGTTAACTCGTCATCTACTTAGCTACGGCAATAATCGTCGACGACCGTCGTAGCATTTCCGTGAGCGCAAGTTTGGGAGCGACTGTTTTAGTTTTTTGTAATTTCAAGGGACTTTTTCTCGCGGTTTTTAGCGTTTGCTGGTGATCCAGTACATTTTTGGTCGCCGTAAGATCGCAAATG